CCAACATGTCAGCTCAGGTTGGCAAAAACGCTCTCGCTCTGATTGATCCGCCCTCAGCCCTGACAGATCGTGTCTTTGCATGCTGCCATGGAGCAAACAGTCGGCGCGTTGTCTCAACGTGAGCAGGAGGGGAGAAGCGTGAGCGGGGTTTACACAGTGTCTGAGCAGTGGGGGGCGGGGGGGGGTGATTTGTGGGGGAAGCCATGGTGGATCTGCTGTGAATGAAACAAGGCTGGTGTCATGATCACTTGGTGATTTGGAAAGGGTGTAGAGCTTTTGATGCATGAGAAAGGAGAGGAAAAGATGAGGTGTGCAAAATCTGTGTGGGTGGACAGCAGATGGTGTCAACCCAGAATTGAAGGGGGGGACGGGGACTTCAATGCTTATGCAAGCAGGGGCTCCAATGTGGAGAACATCACCACCAACAATTCCTCAGTTTATTAATCTGTGCAAGAAACTTTGTACAATCACACAGTTACATGTATTGCTGCTAACTCATAAAGTCATTGTTTCTAATATAACCAGTGTTCTGTTATTAACTTAATCCTAATCATATCTCAGTTATTGCAAAGTAGTTTTGGTGCCTTAGACTAGCAACACTATTTGTCAGTTTGTCCTACCGACATGCGTCAGTATGAGGACGTCTCAGTCTGCTATTTATTGGGGCGCAAGTTTACACATTCTTGGTTGCATTAAGAGAAAAGGAACAAACAACCCATGTGTCTGCGTGGGTTGTGGGGCTTGAAACGTAGTGTTTAGGGACCTTATTCCATTGCTGAAGCGATGGTAAAACCTGAATTGATATCCATAAAGTATGTTTTATTGGGACTAAAATAAAGAGCATTTTATCATACGTTCAATCGATGAGTTAACCTTACATTCCAGCTTTAATTGTGATGTAAGCACTTTAAGTTGGTTGTTGCATGAAGCAAACGGTGCTGTTTGAACTTCCAGCCACGTGGAACACTTGGCTTGAAACCGAGGCGTCATTCATTGGTCACAGAGGTGCAAGCTGATGAGCATGTAATCCTGAGGTTCATGCATGACTACAGCAGTGTACGTTGTTGCTGCAGTTGTCCTTCCTCTACAACCTTTCACCGTGTTCATTTGTTAACGTACAGAAACATTAACTGCAGAGCACACAGCTGGTTTGGCCCTCCTCTCCTCCTCTCAGCAGGGCTCCCTCCCCACCACTAAGGCCTCTGCTGCTATCAGGTGATTCCAGGTCAGTGGGAACTGCTTGAGGTCCACGTAGACACTGCTCCTGATTGGCTGCTGGAATTTACTCAGCCGAGCTTTATGTTGATGCTTAAAGAGAGAGAAAAACAGCGGTGGAGGAGGAGGAGGAGGAGGAGGAGGGGGGGGTGGAGGGGGAATGTATGTATACACGGTCAACTGTCAGCTTGGGCTTTCATCACATGCTCGGATGTACAGCAGAAAGGCACTGGGCTGTAGCCTGAAATAATTCCCATTTAGTCACAGTCAAGTGTGAAATATATACAGTGTGCTAGGCGTATAGAGTGAGTATATACAGTGCATTGTTATCAGCTTAATTTATCCAGAACTTCCTGTCACTGGGGAAACAATTCTTCCTTTTTGTCATGCATGTCATGAGCATCCTTTGAACTCCCATGTTTCAAATTTGACCTACCGTGCTTGCCGTAGTTGGGTGAAAACAGTTTTCCTTTGCAATGAGAGACTGATACAAACATAACAGGGGTTTTGACCTTGAGATACAAGTGAAAAGTACACTCAAATTGGTTCTGTTTGGAATTTTGGCAACCGCTCATTAAGACTGAGACGAGCAGATGTTGTCCATTTCCCAATTGGTTGTTTATCCTGGTTTTATGGGGACTTTTTCTGGTGCTAATTCTGGATACAACCTCGTCCAAATGAGCTGGTTTTCATTTTCAGAACATTTAAAAGTGAACCTTTTCCAAACTGTCCCATTTACATTTGGTTAACAGCACCAGTGTTAGCTGCCGTTTCCTCTGAAAAATAAAGACTCCAAATCCACCACTGCGGGGAAAAAACCCAGGCTGGGGGTAAACATGCACTCATAAATCTTGCTTTCATCAACTATTTGAGCGTTTATTTCAAACACAGTAATGTATTTGCCAAAAGAGACTTAGCCAAATGAAAAGCGATTACTTTCGTTTATGGCAGCTTCCCTCCAGTCATCGAGTTGGTTTGTCAACAGTGCTGTTTCTCAAGTCCAGGTTTTAGCCGAAGTTATTGCCTCTTTGCATCGCTGATAACTTTCTTCTATGAGAGCTAAAATCCTGACACAGCAGAGTCTTGCTAAGTTGGACGAGTAAACACATCTGGCAGCAGTCTATGAAGCGGGCGTTTGGTAAAATGTCTCAATTTAACCGGGATTGAAATACAGAAAAAAGGAAAAAACTCAGAGCAGAATATGTAACTCAAAACATTTATTACATAGCGGATTAGAGATTACTTTCATGTGCGCTTGAACGCTGTTCAAATTGACTTGGAGCCAAATGTTGCCGGTGAGCACTCAGCTGCTTTCACTACTCTGTTTTTGACTGCTGCTGCTTGTGCCGGTTACTATAATTACGTTTCAACTCAGAATGTCAAATTGCTCTATATTTGGTGATGATTTTCTCCGGGCGCAGTTGGCTCATGCTCGGTTGCTCCTGGAACATGCCTGTGCAATAAGTGTGCTGAAACTTAACCCCTTACAGGCCTGACGCTCAGCCATAACACAGACTGGAGGAATGCCAGGCCGCTCGGTTTAACAAAACAATATCTGGAGTGAGGACTTCCAGAGAAATTTCTTTTTTTTTTTTTTCTTTTTTTTTTTTATAAGGTAGTGTAATGGCTTCAAGCGTAATGCTGTCATAGAAAGAGACACATGTTTAACTGGAACATGAGTCAAGTTCAAGTGCAGTCACACTTTCTCACCTATTTATGAGTGTTCAAAACATAAATAACAGCTGAACTTTAATGGGTCGTTGTCCCACACCCTGATTAATAACCAAACAAATACAAATATTAAAACACACCCAAACACACCTCCTTGTCTCACGGCACTTTGCTCCACTTCCTCCCGGATTTGTCACCGCCGCAACGTGTCTTTCACAATCCTGGCTCGCTCAGCCTGCCCCCTTTTTTAGAGGGAACGAGCAGAGCCAAGACATGTCTGAATCTCGCAGCAGAAGCAGCGTTATCGTATAGCTCGGGTCCAGACGGCGGATTCATCCATCAAACGTACGTCTCCCACGGCTGGCTCTTAATCACAGGGGGGATTTTCCCGGCAGGTAAGCCGCTCAGAAACAATGATGTCTTGTCAGAGACGTTAGTCATGAGTTGTTTTTGTGGGGGTGAGATGTGGGTTTTGGGTGTCTGCTCCACTAAAGAAATGTGAGAAATGTGCAGGTGATTGTGATGACTTGTGGCTGTCTGCTGTATACACTCCTTTATTAGCTCCCATGGTGCGTTATTAGGTGGCTTGGCGTGCTGTGTGATGCTTTGTTGTGAACTTAGAAGAATACTTTCGCAAAAACAACTCAACTCCCCTGTCATACCCAATACATGTCCTAATTTGATATTGGAGTTTCCTATTTCCCGCGGGTTCTCGTTTTCACTTATTTTAAAGGTTGAATATTTTACTTTTAATAAACATGTTTACCTCGTCTATTTCCTCTTTTTGGAGATGTACCTTAATACGTGGTTCTCAACTGGTGGATCAGGACCCAGAAGTGGGTCGCGGTGTTATTGGGTCGCGTGGTTTACAGAGGAATTGGAGGCGGGTCCTGATGCCAGACGAGTTGAGAACCACTGCCTTACATTATCCTTCATTTTTGCTTTTTAAGGCATTAATCAGCCCGGTTAGTGACGTGATACAGTAAGCCTTCAAACTGAGGCCAGTGCTCAGGTTGGGAAGCTACAATGCTACTGCTCATCTGACCAATAGTTTCAATGAAAATCATGAGTAGGGATGTAACAGTACCCTCAAGTCATGATACGTTTATGACACAATATTTGGATTAACGATACAGTTTTGGTGCAATGTATGCAGGGGGTCGTGTGCCTCGTGTCACTGTTACACCGTCAACCTGTTAAATAACATCTAGTGCATCCTATTTACATGTCTCTATGAATGCTAATACATGTTCGACATGTTCGAGTTCAGAGCTCAAACCAGCAGACTGTGACCATTCAAACACATGTTAACGTTCTCCTCTGCAGCACATTTGTTGTTCTTTCAAACCCTTTGGATGAAACACTTTGCAGGACTGTCAAGCTTTCAACAAATAATGTGTTTCTTTTTCTCGCCTCCGACTGTCAGGCTGGGTTTTCCTGCAGCGCTGCCTCACTTGTTGTGATACCTCAGGAGAGGCCATAAAACAGGCTTCTTTATTATCCGCGCTTGTGTGCCAAGGTTTTATCCCATTACAGTCAGGAATGCCCTCCTCTCCTCACGTGGGAAAATGGTTTGGGACGCGCACAGTCAATTTCTTTGTTTAGCCCGTTTCACGTGTGTGTATTTGTGTGTGTGCGTTTTTTTTGTGTGAGGGAGAGACAGAAGGGAGGGAGAGTCTGTTAGGAGTGAGGATGCCCTGCTTTTTGTTTCCTCCTGAGCTATTTTTGTCCGGACAGATCTGCAAGCGCTCAGTTTTTTTTTTTGTGTGGTTAGGATGACCCAGTCTCCTTAGCGAGTTCGCGTAAATGTGTGTGTGTGTGTGTGTGTGTGTGTGTGTGTGTGTTTGTGTGTATGTTATCTGCTGATCTGTTTTCTGCTGCAAACGATAGACCAAGATGAAATGCAAGAGTGTTGACTTGAACTCAACCTTCCATTTGAAACCTGATGATTTATTTCTTTCATTTTTTTAGTAAAGAAGCTTCAATTTGGTGCATAACTCCAGAAGTATATGTGTCACTGAAATGCAAAATGCCTGTGTCAGTGGGACCTGACCCGTGTCACCCACTTCACAATGACTCACCCGCATTTTCTCTCTTCCTTCCCCTCCGTTTAGAGAAAAGCTGGCCGTGGCTCGCCTGCAGAGGGAAGTCGCACGGAGCAAGAGCGAAGGAACAATGGTAAAGTACAGCGCAGACTACCCATCCCCTATAATCTGTGCAAAGCCAGAAGAGCCTCAGTATGCTCACTTCACACACACCCACAAACAAGCTGTAAAGCCCTGCCAAGCCGCCACACCGGCCAGAGCCGAACTTTGCCGTCTCGACACTTCATCAGTGGCTCTTTAAAGAGACAGTACTGGAGAAATCAAGCTGGAAATATATTCAGCTATTCTGCATAAATCCAAAGAATTCAATGGCCGGGTTTACAATTCGGCCTTGGTTTACTGCGGGTCGTGGCCGTTTAGAAGAGAGCTACAGACAAGAGGAAGTCAATCTTACACAACACTTGTCTGGTCTTATTTTCCAAGCTGCACACACAGAACATGGTGGTAACTTCACTTCACGTCTACAGCTTAAATTGAACTTAAACATACCAACCTGTTAAGCCATTGTTGCATGGTTATCTGCAAAAACAGGAGCTGTTTCTCTGGCTGACATCCATCTGTAATAGCTGTGGTTTGGAAAGCTGTTTGGGAATTATCTGCAATTTAATTGCTTTCTTTAGAAGAGCATTTTAAGGGCCCAACGGCCACAACCCATTGAGTCCCAAAAATATTTCCAAATGAAGGGGTGGGACCAAATAGGCGGTTAAGATGTAGCGTAACTGTGCACAAACTTTAAAGTCAGGAACATCTGATCAAAAAGTAAGTTAATAAAACTGAAGCATTCAATGCACTCTTTGCATGCACTGGTTTTTTTTCAATAGGGTAACATGTTTGTTCATACGATGTCAGCAGTAGTTTGGACACGTTTCAGTCATTCTGCAGGATTAACAAGTATCCAGAAGCATGGTCAGGTTGGGTAACATGACAAAGCTGCAGCCGGGGGCTTAACCTGTCAACACTGCATTGTTCTAAGCTTAAAAAGAAACTGCAGAGATTTCACTTCACTACGTTTTTGAGAGAGCACTTGTGTAAGCACAGGGAAAGAGTTCAGGAGGTAGAAATCTGCCTCTGAATGTGAACACAGTTGCACATTTCTGTTTGCATATTTGTCCGATTGCCTTCAGTTGTTGTGTCTCAGGGAGGTCAGAGAGTGAAACCACGTGATGAAGCCGAGCTCAGCTGATTGCAGCCTCCGCGCAGAGGCTCTAACCACAGGCTCAGCTGTTTGACTGCACCCCAGTGACGCCTCTGATTCTCTTCATGGCAGCAGGCCTAGAGCTACAGCACGCAAAGGGGCTGATTCACTGTGAGATTTTCACACTATTTTGTCTGATTCTCTATTGATCCCTGAAGGAGGAATTCTTGTTTTCTCTGCCCGCTTCCCCCTCCCAGTGTAGCAGGTCAGATGACGGGGTCAGAGTCAGAACAGAGCCCCCCCCCCCCCTCGAGCTGGGCGAGGGTTCAGATGAAGCTCAAGGGCACTTCAGCACAGCATTCTTGCTGTCATTGAAGGTTATTTTTAGACACAGTACCAGAGAAATGCTACGTTCTGGGCTGATTTTAAAGGGAATCTACCATGTGATTGGTTCTTCATGTGGAAAATTACTTTTACATGAAATCATGAATGTAAACATTGAATATCGCTGCAACTAATTCAGATTTAAAGTCAGATACAAGCAAACAGAGATCCCTATCTTTGTTTACCTTAACCTGTCTCGAAGTAGAAGTCCACTCTCCCCCCATTTCTGACCTTTCTGTGACTTTCCCAGTCCTGCCATTCCAGGTATCGATGTATATAGGGAACAAGAGGGTTCAGTATTGATTTCCACAGCTGGCAGAAATACTGCAGATGAAATGAATGCATGCATCCTCCAAGGGGACCCTCCATATCACTGTGAGACAATCAGTCATGTGAGCAGCTGGAGATGAATGGAGTGAAGCCGATAATAAACACGTCTAATGTGATCAGTTAAGGTCACGTCCACACCTGTAGTTTGGTTCACATACTCCAGAGAAAAAGAACTCAATCTATATGTCAAACTGACTTATTGGAAGTCCATTTAAAGGTGTTGAATTCAAGGGTGAGACAGATAAGTCGTCCGTCAAGAGTTTTGACAGGAAGTCATTCTGCACTTTGGTTTCGCTTTGCAGGTTAATTTGTCTCTTCCGGCTGTCAGAGAGAGGTCAAAGTAAACGGTGCAGACTCCATTTTTCATAAATAGTGACACGCGCACAGGGTTGAGAATAAAGCTGTCAAGTAGAGTGCCGTCTCCAAGTTTGGCTCAGAAAGGTGACCCAGTATGTGGAGTCCCAAAGTCCACGGGACGGTTGAGTCAAACGTGCAACACAATGAGTCATAGCAGCATTATTTTGCCAAGAGACATGCATTGTGTTGTTTTTCAGCCTTTATGCCATCGTTTGGGTTTGTATAAGTGTAAGAACGATGGTTTGCACTGCACCAAATGACATATCCCAATACACAAATATCACATATCCACTTACACGTTGGGATTCCATGTGTTCATAACACAAGTCACTATTTGTTTGCACCTCCTTGTGTCGGTGTCCTCCTTGTAACACCAACCTCCAATCGTCTGACCTTAAAGTGTCCCAAGAATAGTGCGTCCTCCTCTATGCCGTGAGACGCGACCAAAGGCTCGTCTATGAGACTCACACGAGTGGTTGACATGCTAATTATTACTTTAGAGGGGTGTGTATTTGAATTGTGTCTGCGCATGCACAGGGTGGAGAGAGAGAGAGAGAGAGAGAGAGAGAGGGATGAGTTATCTGTGCCAGACAGGAGGAGGGTGAGAAGAGGGAAGAAAAAAAAAAAAAAAAAAAAGGAGGGGGGGGATATCACTAAGCTCCATTTGAAATTGGGATAATCCCCGCTGGAGTCCCCTCACTCTCTCTCTCCGGCATTCCTGGGAGGCTTCGGAGCTCAGGCACGGTTCTTCTATGGGGCTGAAAAAGAGACTGCTGCATCAAGGAGATAATTGTCAAAGTGCTGGCGGTGTGAGGAGGGAACTAGCCTGTGCCCCACAAAACCCCCACACCCCATACCCTGACGCCCACTCCTGTGCCCATTCGCCTCCCCCAACCCACAAATCTTTGCCTGCCAAGGGACTAACTCAAAGAGACAGATTAAAACCCCAGACTTTTTGAAGTGGCTCTGTATCTGATGCCTCTCTTTAGCAGCCTTTTGGTCTTCCGTCTCTACATCCATTAGTGTCTTTGGTGAAACACAATCGCAGAAACATCGAGCCAACCATTGCACAACAGCTTCTGCTCCGCGGGGAGGCGTCTTGCTGCAATATTACTCCTGCTTTGTGTTGGGAAAGAATGCAGGCAGTATCTTTATGGTGGTACACACTGCCGCAATTGTAAGCCTCAAGGTCTCCCTTGCAGTTACACACCCCTGAGTGTATATGAAACAAGAATTAACAACACACTTTACTGGGGAGCGTGTGTTTTAATTGGGTCTCCTGTTGTGAAACATGACGACTACTGGCTCTGCTGCAGCACAACACTCTTTTTGTTATGGATCTTTTGGGAGATATGCATGAACCTTTTTTTTTTTTTTTGCAGGGCAAATCAGGGTTTGAACCGCAGCATGTGCACAGAAGTTGACCACAAATATGGCCACACAAGATGCATTGGTTTGAAAGGATACTGTCCAACAACCACTAGGTCTGTCTCTCTAAAGACAAATCTCTGTACTTGAACTTCATATCAAGGCTTGGACATGGAGTTGATCCAATATCAATACCTGTATCTGAAACGCCAATACTGCCTAAACTGCAGTGTCGGCTACTGTGTGTCTGCTATCCTGTATTATTTATCTGAGGCTTTGCCAATTCATGTATCAATCTGAGCTGATTGGTAATAAGACCCCAAAAAATCCAGCATGTTCCAAAGCAGGAGGCAACATAGCAACAATATATTTCATGACTTCTTCTGATTATACATAGAAAATGTAGAATCTTGGAGTTGCACTGTAAACATGGCAACACATGGAAAAGAAATACTTGGCCAGAAGTCCTTTTTGCCTATACGTTGGCTACACTGGAAGCTCCTCAGAAGCATTTTGTTGTAAATTCTAATATGTATTTGTTTTTTCATTGCACTGGTATCAGAGGGATACTCACGTTAAGGTTTTAGAATCTGCACTGGGAAGGTAGAAATGATTCAAACAGCTCTAAAAGGACGTGATTCTTTTGGCCCTCTCTCTTTAAAACTCTTACAAGACAAACAGCGGCTTTCCCGTTAGGTGTTTTACAGAGCACAGGTCATGGTTTATTCAGTTCCCTTCCAACAAGCCTGCCCTGTCTGTCTGGAGTCAAACCGCTCATTCACGGCCTTGTCGCTGCTGTAGGTTTTCTCTGGAATTCCTCACACCCAAAAAAAAAAAGAAAAACCCAGAGGCGTGGTGCAAGGCAGAGCCGCTCTCTGTCTCACACTCTCGTTTGATGCCACTCCGAGGTGTAATCCAAGTCCATCAGGGGCAGGATGCCGGCTTTCCTGTTGGGGTTGGGGGGGGGGGGAGAGAGCAAACAGGAGTGCACATGCAGGCTTGTAAATGTAGGGAGGGGGCTGCACTCGCCATTAAAAAGGCATTTAAAACAGTGGGGTAAGATTTTTTAACCACTGGAAGCGGCTGTCTAAACAACATGGGAAAATAAACTATCGGACTTTGAGAGGAACTGGATTTATTTTTCTTTGGGTTTTTGTGGACGCGCTGTGATATCTGAGCTTAAACAGATATGAGTCCGATTCACACGCAGTTATTCTCCCCAGAGGTTTTTGTTGATTACAGCGTTTGATTCCTTCATGGCTGAGCGGAGCATGCGTATGAACGCTAAAGGGAACAGTTTTTTTTTTTTAACTTGAACTTGGCTTAATTGTGTAACGCACTTATTTAAAAATCAGATCTCTCCAGAGTATTTCATGTAGAAAATGAAGTTAAGATAAGAATAGAGCCGTTGTGAATTTTAAGTGGGAAACGGGTGGCACTGTATGGTTAAATAGGCCCTGGAGCCAAGATAGGAATCAGCTATTTCTGTCCATGAAAAC